ATCCTGAATACTACCGACGATGAACGTCGAGGGGGTGTCGCCGCCAACTCCGTTCCTGGCGAGACCAGGAAAACCGGCACTGCCCTGGAGTGACTGGATTTTCAGTTTCCACAACTACCTGACTGCCCTGGGAGGTGAGGCCTACAGCACGGAGAGGAAGACGGCTCTCCTTCTGCACTGTGTCGGCGCCGAGGCGCAACGGGTGTACCGTACCCTACCGGTCCAGCCGAGGAGAGAAGACGAAGACGAGTTCCATGCGGCTGAGCGGCAGCTCGCCGAGTTTTATGAACCTCAGGTCAACGTGATCGCGGAGCGGTTCTTCTTCCGGCAGCGACGGCAAGAGTCGCACGAGCCGACGGCCGACTACGTGGCGGCGCTGCGCCGCCTGGCAGTAAACTGCTCGTTTGGACAAATGACAGACGCAATGATACGTGACCAAGTCGTGGAAGCAACAGTGCATCCGATTCTCCGCGAGCGTTTTCTGCAGGATAAGGGCCTGACCCTGGACCGCGTTCTGGAGATCGCCGAGGCATTCGAGCGATCCCGACGCGAGGCGACCGCCATGGCCGGGCCGGCGCGGCCCGCCGCCGACGGAGCGCAGTCACTGCATCAGATATCTGACGCTCGTCAGCGCCGCGGGCGCCGGCCCTGGCGACCCGCCCGGCGGCAAGACGACCGCCGCCCCGCCCCTGCCCAGTTGCAAGCCGACCGTCGCCCCGGACCTGCCCAGCTGCAACCGGACACGTGCCCCAGCTGCGGTCGGCGCCAGCACAATGAGCGCGGTCGGTGTCCCGCTACCGGGGCCACGTGCAGGCAGTGTGGGCGGACGGGTCACTTTGCCGTGGTCTGCTGGTCTGGTGAACGGAACGACGACAGAAGGTGTCACGAGCTGACTGTTCTCTGCTGCGCCGTACCAAATACCGATAAGATGATGTGCGAAGTACAGATGGAGGTACCAGGTATCACGCAGACCGTGAATCTGCAAGTTGACACGGGTGCCACGGTGTCCGCTTTAGGACTCGGCATCGCCAGACGTCTCTTCAAAGGCAGTCGTCTCAATAGAACGTCTGCTCGTCTGTCCGGTTTTGGTCGACACCAGCTTCAAGTGCTTGGCACGCTGCCAGCGCTGGTGACCTACCGTGGACGGCGAGCCAACACAGAGTTCTTCATCATAGATTCCGACGGTGAAGAAGCCGTCATGGGACTGGACCTGCTGAAGCAGTTGGACGTAAACCTGCACCCCGCGAGTGGGGCAATCGATCAGCTGGCGGTCACTGGGAGCGCAGAAGTCCCGGAACCGCCACCGTCTCAGCCCGACCCTGGCGAGATATGCTCACTGACAATGGTCCGTGGCCACCCCGAAGAAGCGGACCTGCATGAAGACAGCTCCGCTGAAGAAGAGGTGATCGCTCTTCTGACAGATGAAGAGAGCGTGCTGACCGAGCAAGACGTCCGCACCGCGTCAGCTGCTGATCCTGAGCTGCAGCAGCTGCGTCATCAGATCAAGCGCGGCTGGCCGAGCAGCGCCAAGGCCTGCCCGGTTGAAGTCCAGCCGTACTTCAAGATGAGACACGAGTTGTGGGTGCGCAACGACGACGTCATCCTGAGAGGAGCCCAACAAGTTGTTGTGCCCGTTCAGCTCCGCCGCAGATACCTGGAGCTGGCGCACAGCGCGCACGACGGAATTGTCCGCATGAAACAGGCGCTGCGGAATCTGGCGTGGTGGCCCGGCATCAACCGTGAGGTGGAGGAGCTGTGCCGAAGTTGCGAGCGCTGCCAGCACAGCGACGCAGTCCTCTCCCAGTGCGCACGCCCTGCGCCCATGCAGCCAGTCGACCTGCCGGACCGCGCCTGGTCGAAACTGGGCATGGATATCGTTGGTCCAATCAACGGAGCACCAGCGACTGCCCGTTACGCCATCACTCTGATTGACTACAGAAGCAAATGGGCGGAAGTCTGCCTGACGTCATCGACTGAGACTGAAGACGTCATCAAGTTCTTGTCAACTGTGTGGGCCAAAGAGGGCTATCCCGACGAGATCGTGGCGGACAATGGGCCCCAGTTCACGAGCAGGGAGTTCACTGCGTATCTGGCCGCCCGAGGGGTGAAGCACACCAAATCGTCCGTCTACTGGCCTAGAGGCAACTCCGCCGTAGAGCGCTTCAACAAAACGTTCAAGTCGTGGATCACAGACTGTCCACCAGCAGCGTTCATTGACGAGGTACGCAAGAGCCTGGCGGTGTATCGAGCCACCCCACACACGACAACTGGGAAGTCACCGTCAGAGCTCCTGCATGGACGACAGATGAGGCTGAACCTGCCTGTCATTCAGCCGTCAACACCAGGAGCCGACAGTGTGGCGTCTCGAGTTCGACGCCGACAGCAGTCCAACAAGAGGTCCTACGACCGCCGCCGTGGCGTGACGACGCCGCGCATCACTGAGGGCGACTACGTCTGCGTGAGACGGCAGGGACACCGCTCGAAGACGTCCTGTCGGTTCACGTCTCCGGTGCGAGTCACTGGGCGCGTCGGTCCCGCAACGTACCGTCTGGCTGACGGCCGGACCTGGAACGCCGCTCATCTGGCCCGTCTCCCATACGCGCCGGCGTCTCCCTCCGCATCTCCCCCCGCTGGGCCCGGCGAGACCACGTCGACCGCCACGACTTCCGAGGCCGACGCCGCTGGCCCGCTGACCTCGCTCGCCGCTGCTTCTCGCCCGTCGACCGAGACAGCTTGCGAGCCGTCGCCGGACGCCGCCGATGTGAGCGTGCAGCGTCCCAGGCGAAGCGACCGTGCCTGTAGACGACCGGACTACTACGTGTCGCAGTGATGCTGTTCCTTTTTTTTGCGAGAGGGGGGAATGTGTAGTGTATCGAGTACCTAGTGCATCGGGTGTCCGAGGCTCGGCATCGGGCCCCCGGTAATACGAGTGTGAGGCGGCCGCACCCTGCTCGGCTCCAGTCAGAGCCGGCAGTCGAGAGGCTCCGCCCGGCCGCACAGCACGGCAGTGCCTTAGTGTTTTGCACCGCGAGTTTGTGAGAATACATCGGAACCCGGAGAACGGCGGTGGACACTACATCCTCGTCGCCAGATGTAGTGTCCACCGCCGTTCTCCGGGTTCCGATGTATTCTCACAAACTCGCGGTGCAAAACACTAAGGCACTGCCGTGCTGTGCGGCCGGGCGGAGCCTCTCGACTGCCGGCTCTGACTGGAGCCGAGCAGGGTGCGGCCGCCTCACACTCGTATTACCGGGGGCCCGATGCCGAGCCTCGGACACCCGATGCACTAGGTACTCGATACACTACAAAGATAATAAAAGGAAGGTGTAAAATTAAGAGGGCTACAAAACTGCTATCTCGAATTTTTGAAATTTTGGGATTTTGACCCCAAAAATAAAAAATAGATTTTTTAGTAAACAGCCAAAAATACAAAAAGTTTTTTTTTGAATTTCAAAAAATGGAATATATATGATAGCCCTTACTGGCTTCTATCCACATACCAAATTTGAGATCGACACCTCTTTTTTGGCCAAGTTATAGCGAAAAATTGTTCAAAATTGATGACGTCAAATTTTCAAACTCAATTTTCAGCAATTCTAGACGTCGTGGCGCAAAACAAAGACCACCATTAGACTCGCCATGACGAGTTGCATCAAATCAATACCGATTGTATGCAAAACTATCAACTTTGAAATTTGACATTTTTTGACCTGACCTTGACCTGACCTCCACCAGAAAGTGACCTAAACCGTACCTGATGGTCTTATAACCAACACCATTGAGTTGGAAATGAAAAATTGGCCATAAAACATGCATCGCACAACCTTAGTAAAGTTGGGTTCATGTGCTGACCTTTGGTGACCTGACCTATGACCTGACCTGGTATTATCAGTGACCTCTAATAGCATCATATGTCTACTAGGCAACTGACACCCTATCGCTGATTTTTGACAAAATGCGGTTTACTCGGTATTATAGCGCATTTCCTAGAAGACCCGTGAACGGTGAAACATTTCATTTTTGACCTGACCTGTGACGTCATCGGTGACCCCGAGGTCAATGAAATTTGGTTTCTGTCGACGAATTTGGCAGGGCTATCTAACGTCGTTTGAATTTTACGGATCCGTCCAGTAGTTTCGGAGCCACGGGGGGGGGGGGCAAAAAATGCCCCCTACCGCGCGGAAGGTAGCCGGGAGGCCCACCGCCTGCCCGGTTAAGAGGTAAAAATGTTGCGTAGGTACCCTATAGGATAAGGCCCCATCTTTGGTTATGGATCAATTTCTAAATTCAATCACCAGCGTGCTCGTCTCAATGCACATTAAAAACGAGACGAAGGTTTTCTGGATCATGGTCAAGGTCAGCTCAAAAGCTGGCGCACCTCACAGTTTTAATTTTCGGCCGCTTTGAAAAAAAAAATCGCCACCAGTGTGTTCGCCTCATTGCCTCCATGAAGGCTGAAGCACATTCAAAGAAGTTCGATGGCCTGAGGATCATTAGGAGTGAAGGTAAAAATGGCATGTTGTAAAAAAAAAACTCACACTGTGCTGTTGTGGTGGGGTGGTTCCACGTCACGAGTGTCAGGAGCAGCAAGCTGGGAAGACCGCGAGCGTATTTAGCCTCCTGGGTACTCTCGTCACTCCGCTTTATACCCTCTCCCAAGGTCTTTCGCTGGTCATGGGTGGTGGTCGAGAGGTGCTGCCCTCTGTCCTGTCACTCAGCCGGCAGATTTCGGCAGGTGTCTCCTGTTTTGGGTCTCGCCCCCCCCCCCCCACACACACACACACACTGCCTCCGCTGTGATTTGTGCCGTGGAGATGCTCTGTGAAAGTAAAATCGGGATTCAATTCCGTTCCGCTTTGTATCATAACATCGGCCTGAAATGCCTGCTTTGTCTAAATCCACATTTTCACGTGCACTTTGAAAACGGTTATACATCCAACATTCTGCCGATAGGTATTATTCGATAAACTTTTATCTTTCGGTTGATTTCAAACACTGACCTTATGATTTTGGTAAGCCGTTGAACCCTGCTGTTCGGTCTCTCCGGTTGCCGGCAGCGATGAACCGGGCGTGGCTCCGTCTCCAGCCACTAGCCAGGTGTTCAGCAGATTCGACGAGTCACGAGTTTCGTCGCTCGGAGGTCGCGGCGGCCTTTTTTAGCGGCGGTGCGGCGAACTCCATGACTGGATGACTGGGTCGGCCTTGGATGCCTGTAGCTCTGAGAGCGTTATGTAAGGCTCTTTGGCGGTTTGTGCTTGTGTGTGTGTCTGGGGGCAGGCGGGGGGTGTGGCCAGGCTCGGGGCTCTGACCGTGGGCCGTACCCGGGAGGAGTGGTCTCTGCCGGCATGGTGCGGCAACCCGGCCGTTATGCAACATGGCTGTTATATCGGATAAGTATTCACATCACGTCAAATTTAAGGAGACTGTAGCGAAGAACCTACATCTATGTAAGACACCCTGTCGCCGCTAAACTTTTTTATTTTACCATGCGTTACTGCATGGTTACGGAGCGAGCGAAGCGAGCGTAGTCTTTCCTTAGACGGAAATTTCTGAGTATGAGCGGCCGGCCGGCCGGCCGGCCGTGTGGACGCTTTTGCGAGGCTTATATCTCAGCAACCACTGGACCGATTTACATGCGGTAATTTTTGTAGGGTAGCTTTATTCCTTCTACCAAGTATTGGACTATTCCCGATGCATTTGGGTGACCCTATGTTTTAGTGCATTGGGTGACCCCTTATGCACGTGCCACGTGCAAAACGAAGAGGTGTCAGTTTTGTAATTGTTGCAATATCTCGGTATAACTACTTGGCCGATTGCGTTGAAAGTTGGCATGTAGGTAGGCACCCACTAGGCACTGCATATCCATGTGCCAGAGTTGGGGGTTTAACGCATGGTAATTTGGCCCCATTCCCGTAGGGGGGGGGGGGTGAAAGATCCTCCCTGTCCTTTTCCGTAGATAGGTATCTCCTAAACGACTGCAGATATCGTCACCAAACCCCCGCGCCCCGCTAGGGGGGGGGGGGGCAGAGTAAAGGAATCTTGGGCAGAATCTGCCCCTCCCGTTTTTCGCTAATAGCTTCTAAGCGCGTTACGCCAGCGACGTCAAACTTTCAGTACCTTAACCCGCGCCCTGCTGGCGGGGGGTGTCTGAACACCCCCCTTGTGGTTTTTCGCGAATATCTCAAGCCGTTTTTGGTACACCTTATCATACATCAATTCTACACATGTTGTGAAAATTTCAGACCAAGGTCATTCAAGGTCAGGTCACCAGGTCACTTGAAGTGACCTCACCTCATAAAAACTTTCAATGTCTGTCATAGCTACACCGAGTGACCGATCGCTTTGAAACTTTCAGCGATTGCTAAGAGCAATAGCATGTACAAAATGTACATCTCAGAATTTTGATATCGATGACCTAAGGTCAGGTCAATTTTGCGACCTGGGGCATTCCACGATAGATCGTACCACTTTTTTCCAATTTGACACCCTCATCTCTCGGAATTGGACGAGAATTGGTCTCAGGGGTAATCAGGGGCTCTGAATCCACCTGTAACAATTTCAGACTTATCAGATAAGTATTTTTTGAGTTATGGTGTATAACATTTTTTGGATCTTGCTTTGCAGCGCTAAGTTTGGCGGGCTGTAACTCTAAGACGGATTATTCAAATGCCAAATGTTATATAACATTGAACTTGCAATGAAACAGAGATTAATATGTATTTTTGAAATTTCGAAAAATACGCAATTTTTGATATATGACATACCGAGTTTTCTTTCATTTGTATTTTTTGGACTTTGGGACCAATTTTTTTAGAATTTTTATTTCTTTAAAAAAATATTTGGCTCATTGTTAACAAATATGCAAAAAATTAGGAAGGTGTTCTTTCTATAAATGTATTTATTTTACGTCACGATAACGGTTTCGAATTGTGATTTCTGGAAGGGAGCTTACAAATGGCGTGGTAAAGCTGCCTAGTGACATCACTGGTTACTGAAATTTCAATTGAAGTCTGAGTCATCTGAAAAAAGTGAAAAGAGGGTACATTCCAACCCTCTTTCCTATAAGCGCGAGGGTGAAAAAGGCTGTTTGGTTCTGACATTGTTCTGGACGCCAACGACCATAGCTGTCCGAGATGAAAGTTACAGGACGCATACATGGTGTCCTCCAGAGGTCTCACAAATTGTATATCTGGGAATTTTTAAGGTTACGTGAGGTCAGGTCGGTCACGTGACATCACTGTTATAAGTCAATGGGGAAATATAAAAACTGTTATTTTGGCGCCGATAATGATCTAAAACTATCCCACGCACATGGTATCGTGATTTCATGCACTTCTTGCAAAGTCCAATGCTCTTCTTTTGCATTGGTAACCTTGCGTGACGTCATTTATGACGTCACTAGGGTCGTACGAGTTTTTCGTCAATAACTCCCGATCAAATGGAGCTAGAGAGTCGGGAAAGCCACCAATGGACTCGGGGGGGAGACCTTCCGAATCGAATGATATGCCATATGATACCCTTTGCCCAGCTTCGTGACCTGAAGGGCTCTGACCTGACCTTGATCCAAGGTCAACTACTTAAGTTGACCTAACCCTAGCAAAAAGTATACCATTCGATGCACCTGAGCTAGACGAACACAATGATGCCAAAATCGCGGCTCTGCGGCCATTTTGTGCGAAGTTATTTACTAAAAACCGAACCCGTAACTTCAGTCACTTGACCTGACCTCAGACGCTACCGGTTAAATTGAGACCTTAAAATCGGGTACCAATCGCTGCGACTTGTTGCGGCACACACGCTCGTTTTTTTTTCCGCGAGGCTCTAGCTCTATTAGAAGCGAAACGGCGTGCTGGGGTCGTATCAACCCCTCCGAAACCCATTTTGTTTGCGGGAAAATGAGGATTTTATAGAAAGAACACCTTTCTAATTTTTTGTATGTCGATTTGCAATGACATGAAGTTTATTTTGAAAAAAATAAAAATTTGAAAAATTTTGGTCCCAAAGGTCATTAGAGGCAAATGAAAAAAGATTAAGGTTTTTGCTCAACAATGAAAATTTTTCTTTGGAATTTTTAAATGGCAATATTAATTTTTGATTCATTGCAAGCTTAGTGTTGTTTACTGTTTGTTGGTAGCTTAACCCGTTCTGGAGTTATAGGCCATCAAACTCACCGTTACAAACCGAAGTTAAAAAAATGTAATGCAATATAACTCAAAAAGTTTTGATCTGAGAAGTCTGATATTTTGCCAGGCGTCTTTGGGGCCTATGATTACCCCTAGGACGGATTTTCATTAAAATCTGAGAGATGAGGGTGACGGGCCTGGTACGATCTATCGTGGAATGCCCCACCTATCCATTACTCGTATATGTAAGTCAATGGGAGAAAATTGAAATGCGCCTCTTTTGGACGAAAGACATTATAAACACTCCCAAACACCGAATTACAAGTGGTTTAGACACACAGAACATGAAAATGGTGTCCGTGACCCTTGTTTATGCCCTGAGGTCATCTTACGTCACGAATGGTATCTAACAGTTTTTCGCAAATAACTTTTGATAGAGGCATGCTAGAGCGATGAAAACGCCTTAGATGTGTTCAGCTCGACGATACGGATCGACTGATATGCAACATGACCCTTTCCGGTCAGGTCATGACCTTAACCTGAGGTCAAATTTTCAAGTTGACCTTTCAAGGTCAAGTTATAGTTCGTTCGATGCGTCTTGACGAGAGGAACACGATGCCGGTAAAAGTAAGCTCGTACAAGGCTTTGGTCAAAAGTTATTGCAGAAAAACGGTTTCCGAAAAAAATCGGCTATTTTTGCAGTTTTTGCCCCCTGCAGGCAAAACCGTTGACGTTAGGTCAAATCTGAGGAATTACTCAGAAAGGGCGTTAATAGGGCTATCGAATGCGCTTTTCCGCGGCGCTGTAGCTCTATTGGCTCCCGAGTTATGCGTTGGCTTCTTAGAAATTTTCGACATTCGACCTGGAAATCGGCGAAATTTTGCCTTCAATGACCTCTGGTGACCTGACCTTTGACCTGACCAAAAAATTGACCGAAGTGATTTCGTCATTATTTTTGACGCTCTTTCGAACGCCGCCTTCCGCGTAGCGCTACGTGGCCCAGGAGCCGAGTTACAAGGGGGGGTGTTCAAACACCCCCCCCCCCCCCAGCAGGGCGTGGAAATCCAGGACCCCCAGCCGGGCGCGGGTTAACCCGCGCACCGACGGGGGGGCGGATATCCGCCCCCCTGAGGTTTTTCGCGGATAGGGGGAAAACCGCGGCGCGTAGCGCCGCGAAATTTGGTACGACTATTCTCTCATCAATTTTGCACATGGTGTGCAAGTTTGAACCTCCTAACTTTCAAGGTCAGGTCACCAGGTCACTTTGAATGACCCAACCTCAAGTCACTTTTTTGCAACTTTGTCACCGTGCCAGAGCTACAGTAGATGTCGGAGGCCTTTGAAAGTCGCAGGATGTTATTAGGTCATTAGCAGCTACAATTTTTATATCTCGGAATTTTGATGTCGGTGACCTAAGGTCAGGTCAATGTCGCGACCTCCCCAATATAAGTCAATGGGGGAAAAATCAACTCCCTGTTTTTACCACTGAAACGGGTCGGAATGGCCCCATATACCATACATGACTTCATATACGATCAACCTTCACTACCTTGAGGTCTGTTTTGCTGTTGGGCAGCTGTAAGGTCATGTGAGGTCATCAAAGGTCACCAGCGGTTTTTTGCCAATAACTCCGTACAGGAACAAGATACAGCCGCGCGGATGGTCTCATTGTGTTCAGCTCGTCAAGACGCATCGAATGATATACATGATGACCTCGAGGTCACGTGACCTGAGCTCAACCTGACCTTGACCTTTCGAGGTCAACATATATATCATTCGATGCGGATTGACGAGAGAATCACGATGGTGCCCTTAGTCCTATCTTGACTAATTGGAATGTTATTCGAGAAAAACTCTCCATATCTAGCGCCGCCATTTTGACTTTTTCGACCCCTGTGACGTCATCTTTGACCTGACCCGAAAATGACCTTAGTAAAAATTGTAGACCTTGTCCGTGTTGATCCAGATGTGGTCCATATCACTAATTGAGTGTGCCCATTGAATTATATGACTAAAATAACCCATAAAACATGTGTCGCACATGCCCTCTTCTATATTTCGTATTTCGTGACCTGACCTGACCTTGACCTTGACCTTTGCATGACATTTTATGCAACGAATCTTGTCTTGGTAGCCTAAGAACACGTCACTTTGGGCAATCAGTCTCAGTCCATTCTTCGGCAACTACGGTGCAAGGCCGATACTGTAGAAACTTGCATTTTGTAGCCTTGACTTGGCCTTTACCTGACCTCTGACCTACTTAAGCAAAAAGATTCTTAAGATCCACCTTGTTGAGAGCTTTCGATTGCCGTTTTCCCCGTCTTTCTACGACCATCGGTTCGGAAGTTAGACGGGGGGGTAGGGCAGAATCTGCCCCCCCCCCCCAGCAGAACGCGTATGGCTGAAAAGCCCAGCGGGGCGCGGGAGGGCACCGGGGCACCGTGCCCCCCTTTGATTTTGGCATTTTAACATTAGCCCTATATGGGCGTTGCATGGAAGGAATGGGACCAAAAGTCGGCAGTGCCCCCTCCCCTTAACCCTCGCCCTGGCAGGGCATTTTTCATAACACGGCCTGGCAGGGGGGGGGGGGTCGATGCGACCCCCCTCGCGATTGGCTCCTAGCTATGGCACCTAGAAACATTAAATTTGGTAGGTAGGTGGGCCCAGGTGGTCCCCCTGGAGTTCGCACCCCTGTGCAAATTTGGTTGCTCTAGGTCAATATTTAGGGGGGTTTTGGGGGGCATAAATGTAAAAATTTCGCTAAGAACAGGTCAAAAGTTTTTCGCTTATAACTTTTGATCTAATTAAGATAGAGCAAAAAGAAAAAAACAGTGAACTCAGCACGTCAAGGCGCGTCGAATGATATACTTTTTAGCTTGCTGAAGTGTACTTAAAGTTTTTCTTAAATTTTAAGTAAGCTTTAATTGATTAAGTTCAAGTTAACCAAATTGCATCATATCGCATATCATTCGATTCGGCGGATCACCAGGAACACAATGATACCATTTTTTAAGCTCTAGCATCATTATGTGCCAAGTTATTGGCAAAAACGTCATTTGACCTGACCCATGGATAAGTACACCAAACAAAGAAGCACCAAGTGACCTGCTGTTAAGTACTGTGGTTTCAAAGCACAAAAGTGATAGAACGAAACAGATATCTCCAGTAGGTATTTTCCGAATTTAGTATTTTCCCGTAGGCTTAACATTACGACGTAATGACCTCTAACTGACCTCAGGTCAGTGACCTCAAAAAACCCGAACTATATGTTATACAACTCGGTGAACTTAGCACATCCTGAAAGTTTGAAGGAAATCAGTCCAAAACTGTGAGTTGGACAGACTGCAAAAAGAAAATTGAAATTTGACTCTGACCTTGTACCGGTTTTTCTGACCTGGTGACCTGACCCAAGGTCACCCGGACCTGAAATTTTCAGGTCATATGTAAAAAGGTTGTCCCAGAGGCTGTGCCAAATTTGGCTGCGCGCCGCCGTTTTTACGCTTTCTTCGAAAAACCTTAGGGGGTCGCATCGACCCTCGCCCCCCTGCCAGGGCGAGGGTTAATTGTTGTTCCGCGCCGCTTCTGATCCTGAGGATGGAAGGAAACGACGGATGGGGTAATGCGGAAACGCAATCACTATATATCGGGTTCGAATGTTCGATGGTAGGTAGCGTGTTTCTTTTTTCCAACCAAAAGAAGGCGCTATACCCGAAGATGCTTCTTGGTAAACAAACCAAACAAAAACAAACATAACCTAACCTCACCTGACCTAACCTACAACCTACAAACCTACAACCTACAACCTAACCTACAACCTAACCTACAGACCTACAACCTACAAACCTACAACCTACAAACCTACAACCTAACCTACAACGCGCCAAAAAGTTCGGCCGGCGGCGGGGATCGAACCCTAGTTATTAGATCACGAGGCGAGTGTGCTCACCACTACACCACGCAGCCAGCTGGCCGGTGAGAGGTGTAAGTCACTTTACAATGACGCAATGGGATATTCTCCGTATAGCGCCTTCCTTTGGGTGGAAAAAAGAATTACGCTGGTAGGGGGTATACCTATTATTGAGTGCCGGGTTCATTTGACCGTAAAAGTGGCTCCTCTATCTGGAAAACTCTGCGCGAAAGGATTTTAATTATGCTGCTGGTCCTGTATTTGGTAGCACACAACATAACTGAAATTGCTCTGAGAGTTACATTTGTGGCGCAGGCCAAGCATGCCGCTGTCCGTTGTTTGAGATAATGCGGTCTCGTGGCGTGCGTTGTCTTTTCGGGCGGTGTCTCGTGACTCGGCTTCCGCATTCCGCCGGCTTAGATAGTTCCTGCCTGAATTGATAATCTGTGGCTTATTTAAGTGCATAAGTAGTGTTCAATATAAGACATGGCACTTCACGTTCCTAGGGCGCCTGGTTTTGGGCAAATGCTGAAGGAGGGGTCAAGGGTAAGTGAATAAACACTGACATTATTGGGATAAAATCATCCATGCTGTTCTTGTCATGGGTATTCATGGATGGATGTCAATTTTACTGTCTTAAAATGCTCGCAATGAAGTGCTCTTTCGGGTGATGTATAAAAATGGATTTTGGGGCGTTTGCTTAAATAAGGGCTTCGCTATAAAAATGTAGAAGTCTGAGTGAAGATGAAAAATATAATTAACTTGACCCAACTGACCTGCTTGGAACTTTTATTTACTAATATCAGATTTGTTACTAACTTACCTCACCGCCAGGATAGATTCCGATGTGCTGCTAGGGATGTTTTATTGATTATTGATCACTATTTTTTGTGATGTTTTGCTTGTAAGTTTACCAGAGTGTTGTTTCTGAGTGCTGACCATGTTTTTTACCATTTTCAGCACTTCTCTGGTCTAGAAGAGGCTGTGTACAGGAACATTCATGCATGCAAGGAATTTGCAGACACCGTCAAAACGGCTTATGGGCCGCGCGGAATGAACAAAATGGTCATCAATCACATAGAAAAACTATTTGTCACAAGTGATGCTGCTACCATTATCAGGGAACTTGAGGTATGATTGCTCAGCCCAGTGGTCCAAGGAGTTGAAATACCAGGTGGCATCATTGTGACTGCACATTTTTTCTACACAAGCCAGTGTGATGCCAGTGTGGACACCTGAAAGAGCTAAAATACTATAACGTAAATTGAATTAGTATGAGGCATCAAAATTTTAATCATTTTATTATATTGCTCCTCAATCTTGCAAAAAAAATTCAAAACTGTATATTTGTTCAAGGGGTCTCCTCAGAAGTTGATCATGTCTTATTAAAATGGCTACTTATGTTAATTATTAATTAATTAATTAATTTTAAATTATTAAAATGGCTACTTATTGACCCAGGGTGCCTAGCCACATTGCAAGTACTGTTATGCTTATGGCTTGCAGGAGGCTATCATCACTCAGGGAAAATTAATCTGACTGTCATGTTGTTAGTATTGTAGCTAGAGTGCTTTTGTAGTTATAAACCATTTTTATTGTTGGATTTGTCATGAACTATTTGCTTGGTTCTGGCTCACATTATGCAGCTGATGACTGTGCCATGGTCTGTTGCTTTATACCTTACGAAAGTATGGTTGCACTGCTTTCAAGCTTTCAAGTCACTGTTGACTGTCTAATTTCCTTGCTGTTTTGTCATAGGTGGAGCACCCGGCGGCCAAGATGATGATCCTCAGCTCTCAGATGCAGGAGCAGGAGGTTGGAGATGGCACCAATTTTGTTCTCATCATGGCAGGAGCGCTACTTGCCTCAGCGGAGGACCTCCTCAGAATGGTGAGACATTTATCAATTTGGTGTTCACTGGTTTGTAGGCTTTGGTAGTGAGATGCAATCTGTGGCATTAATCACCAATGTGCAAAATATTGAAATGTGTATGGTGATGATGAGCAGACCATCAGAGTAAGTGATTATTGAGAAGCCCCTTGTTCAGCGTTCCTTATTTTGTGGTTTACCCGCGCTGGACCGGTATTCGGCGCCAACTGGGGCGACAAATCGGCGCATAACTCGAGACCGAATAGAGCTATAGCGCCGCGGAAAAGCGCATTCAATAGCTCTTTCAACATTCTTTCTGTTGTTAGCCTTCATATTTGTGCTAAGATCAACGGTTTAGCCTCCAGAGGGCAAAACTCTTCAAGTTGCCGTTTTTTTATACAAATAACCGTTTTCCGGACTCAAACCAGACTTTTGACTCAAAACTGGCACAGCTTTGATTTTTCTAGCGTCGTGTTCCTCCTGTCGAGACGCGTTGAATGAACTATAATTTGATATTGTAAGGTCATTTTTTTAATTGCCCCAAGGTCAAGATCATAGCATAATAATTTAAACAAGCATAATAATACCTAACTGATGATAAACCATTTTTGGTTTAGCAGATTCTCATCCGCCCATAACGCTCACCACTCAGAAACATGCGTTGCTTAGTAAACTAACTTTTTAGCACATTTTGACATCCGTTTGGTGGAATTTCATGCTGAGCTTAATTTCCCGACAATTTTCCGAATTTTAGCGCTTATCCGTTACACGGCCAATGTGCGATGGCCACCGCGTCCTTTGTGTGAGACTGGCGCGCCATCCGCAGGGTCTCACGCCCACCGAGGTAGTGGAGGGGTACGAGCTGGCGCTGAAGAAGGCCCTCGAGCTGCTGCCGGGCCTCGTCTGCGGTGAGATCAAGGACCTGCAGTCGGAGTCGGAGCTGAAGCGCGCCATCAAGCCGTCCGTCATGAGCAAACAGTACGGCAACGAGGACTTCATCACAGACCTAGTGGTCAAGGCGTGCAGTGAGTACCGACTTCGGGGAGGGACGGGAGAAAGGGGATAGTGGGCTTGGTCTGGCCGGTGATGAGTATGCTCAGTCGGTTCTACTTCGTGTATGAGGAAAGATGGAAAAACAATTTTTATTTGCCAGTTAATCTTGTCCACCATGAGTGAATAAAACACGACCAAAATCTTTTTTTTATCAAAATCGTTCGATGGCCTTTTTAAAGAATTGCGTTTTTGTAAGAACAACTGTGAGAGGCTGTAACTTGCCTTCGTGTGGACGCCATGGATGGCCGGTGCGGGGTGAAATACATCAATACGTCAATCACTACCACAATCGCCATCGTCATTGTCACCATCACCACGATCACCCTGCCTTCCCGCAGTGTCGATCCTGCCGGAGAAGTCGACGGCGTTCAGCGTGGATAACGTGCGCGTCTCCAAGATCCTGGGCGCCGGTCTGCTCAGCTCGCAAGTGGTCCAAGGCATGGTGTTCCGCCGAGAGGCTGAGGGCACAATCAACACGGCCGAAAAGGCCAAGGTGGCCGTCTTCACGTGCCCCGTGGATATCGCCGCTACGGAGACCAAGGTGGGAGGGCGGAAGGGAGGGGAGGGCTGAGGGAGCAGCGTGTACGGGGAACAGTTGAGAACGGGTCGAGATCTTATACTGAGATAGGGAGACAATGATCTGACGTCTTCCTTACAACGGAAGACACTGAGGTTACGCAGTTTGCATGATGTTTATTCCCCAGAAGTTTTTTATAACAATTTTAGAACTTTTCTGCTGGGATTTCGTATAAGATTTTCGTTTCAGTTGTGGTCCATATCCAAGAATATGAAATACATATTCCACGTAGTTGTGTCTTAGCATGTGTAACGGTAGCCTGCTGCAGATCTTTCTCACATTTTTGGATAACAGTATTTACCTTTTGCATGTTAAACAGTCCAGCTTATGTTGTACAACTATACCTATCTTTATTTTACTTGTTTGGGTTGTTCATAATTACACCTCTTACCAAGCTACTTATATTTGTTTGCGGTGTAAGAATAATAATTTGCTCGTGTTCGCCGGCCGCAGATTTATTCCATGTTTGCGCTCCGTTTGGCAGGGTACCGTGCTGATCAAGACGGCTCAGGAGCTGAAGGACTTTTCTCGCGGCGAGGAGAGCCAGCTGGAGGAGCAGATCAAGGCGATCGCCGCCACTGGAGCCAAGGTAAGTCGCGTCGATCGGCTGCAGGTGCCTCGCGACTCTTTGTATAGGGTGCTCTTGGACTGAGTACCATGAGGATCGGCAGTTGTGACGCATAAATGATGCAGGATATTGGTCTGAGGCTTATGTAAGGAACTGCCTATAGGTTCTGGAAAATACAGGTGGCAGGCTAAGGCAGGCTAAGACGTCAGTGAGGCTGACAATAATTCCACTAACAGCCTCTTTTATTTTGAAGGAAGTGGTGATTATTTCTCTTTAAGTCGTTGGAAGAACAATTTTTAGTTAGCCGAGTCTGAATTCACAGGCTTGGTGTGCGCAATCTTTGTGCTTTGTGCTTACTTGTCAAAGGACAAATAACCATCCTTTGGAACATCGTCAGCGCACCTCAAATCCACGTTATCGACGCAGAAAAAAAACGTATTGAAATGGCCCTCGAGTGATGCATTGTGTGTTTGGTCGCTGCACGCTCTTCATTTGGTGTCTTCCCTTTTTGCTAAAGCTATTGTGTGCTTGGAATGATGTGGGCAGGCCTGACATTGCTCATAAACCCTCCCCGCTCCCCAGGTGATCGTGGCTGGCGGTAAATTCGGCGACATGGCCCTGCACTACGTCAACAAGTACAACCTGATGGCCGTGCGACTGCTGAGCAAGTTCGACCTGCGCCGGCTGTGTAAGACGGTGGGCGCGACGGCGCTGCCGCGGCTCACGCCCCCCTCGGCCGACGAGCTCGGTTACTGTGACCGCGTGTACGCCGACGAGCTGGGAGAGACGGCCGTGGTTGTGTTCAAACAGGAGGCGGCCGAGAGCCGTATCGCCACTGTGGTGGTGCGCGGCGCCACTGACAACATGATGGATGACGTGGAGCGGTCCATTGATGACGGCATCAACAACTTCAAGGCGCTCACCAAGGTGGGTGGGGACGGGACAGGCGTTGGAGAAGGGAGTCGAGGATGATGTTGGGCGAGGGCGCGAATCTGTACGTTTTATTCGTTTGGTGTTAACGTTTCATTGGTTTAGTATTGTCTCCGATGCGCTTACGTCTGGCTCCCCCTCTCTGTCCAGGACGGGCGCGGTATCTGACGCTCCCCCTCCCTCTCTGTCCAGGACGGGCGGCTGCTGCCGGGCGCCGGCGCCTGTGAGATGGAGCTCGCCCACCTGGTCTCCCAGTACGCCGACACGTGCCCCGGCCTGGAGCAGTACGCCATCAAACGGTTCGCCGCCGCACTCGAGGCCTTCCCCAAGGTGCTGGCCGACAACTCGGGCTGCAAGGCCACCGAGGTGCTGTCGCGACTGTACGCCGCCCACCAGGAGGGCAAGAAGACGGCCGGCTTCAACGTCGAGGTGAGGACTCTCGAGCCAACTAGGTGCCAAGTGGCTGAGCTGACTGGGCATGTCATCGCAACACAATCATGTCGGCGGTACTGTTTTTAAGCTGTGTGTTGTTTGCTTCTTTTGTGGCAAATATTTCAGACTGGCATTAAGACAACTTAAGCGTTTTCTTTGTCAAATTTAGTATTTATAGACGCTACATTGACGTGCTTTGATTGTCATCGTCTATTTATAGTCAAAATCATAGCATTCAAGCATCCAGGAGCCATCTATGAAATATTATGTCTGCGGACGGCTGCCACCTTCCTATTGCGCTGACAAGAGCCGTCTCGGATTTGCCAGCCGTGACCACCCCGCGACCTCCCCTCACCTATCTCCGTCCGTTCGCAGGGAGAGGGCTCCGACACGACCCTGGACGCGGCCGAGGCGGGCATCTTCGACCTGTGGCTCACCAAGCACTGGGCGCTCAAGTACGCCGCCACGGCCGCGTGCACGGTGCTCAAGGTGGACCAGATCATCATGGCCAAGCGCGCCGGCGGACCCAAGCCGCGTGAGAACAAGGACTGGGACGAGGACTAGGTGGGGTGCGACTAGGAACCGCCGGACGACGCGCCGGGCCGGCCACTCACGAATTGGGCTAGTCCGATGGCGCCGGCGCAACATGTTCGAATGACACACCGCGTACATTGTCATGTGCATGATTAACAGTTTCTCGGCGTAACACGACTGATTGTTTGTTTTGACTACTTCTGCCCACGCTGAGACTCAGTTGTGACGAATCACGGGATCTCGGGCAATCGCCACATCCGAGGAACGGCCGTCCCACGCTGCATCAATATAACACGTTCGATACACGAGCTTCTTCTTGGGGTGGTCTTGGGGTGGCGGTGGGGAGCTGCGGATGGCGCCGGACGCAGGGCGGTAGAAAAGGCAGGCCACCGGGGTAACATGCACCGTTCGGAAATCATTGTATACGCTAAAATCCATATATTAATTATTTCGCGAATTGCAACGAACTCCAGGATGCTTGTGCCCCGTCAGACTCCTCATTGGCCAGTGCATTCCTGTCCTGTATCACTCGTCTTGCCGCCTCTTTCTCGCCCCCTCATGGGTTCGCATATTGGCTATTCCTGGATCAAATCACACTGTGGTGTAGTTGACATATTCATGGCTCTTTTTCTCCATCAAATGATGTTTTAGTTTAAAGCTGCCAAAAATGCACCGGTTTTTCACTTCCATTTCACCGATAATTTCGTCGATTTTGGTGCTGCTCCAATTCACGGGTGATGCGCCGACGCGGAAATAACTAGGAGCTTTACAGTTCTTGATAGCCCGTAATCTGTGGTGTTGCGAAGTTGGCAGGTCTGACCATCGATGGCCCGTTCAGAGTATAAATGTTCCTTATACACTTGGGTGCCCATTTCCCTACTCGGGTCGGTGCTTAGAACTCTCGGCTAGAGCCTTAGTGATCCGCGAGGTAATACGATGGTGTTTTCTTGGCTGCTAAGAAAGCCATTAGAGTCGGGTTGACAGACCACTGGCTAAGAACACAGGCACTTACATTTATTTTCCAGTCCAAGACGTTTGTGTGTTAGCCCTTGCTGTCCCAGAGATGCCAATCCCGGAATGCTGCAAGACTCATTTCCCACCAGAAAAATGGCAACGGAAAATATATTGCATTTTTTGCATAGTTCTCTTCGAAAAAGTTAACGAAAAAGGTTTACTACGCAATACGCACGTATTGTGTTCTTTTGCGTATGGGTGCTATTGAAGACTGATGCTACAATATCATTATGTTGCGAACATTCCTGAGACATTTGACTGACACATTATTTATCTTGAGTTATTGATTAAAAATGTATTCCACTCCTCGTGCAACTACGTCTTTCCATTACATTCTATCTACCGTATACTTATATGAGTTATACCTACATTTTATCCTCACCATACACCTACCTATTCACTATTCAGTGTCTTCAATCAATGCGAGGAGATGCTGTTCGCTGTTGCTTTGCTCAAGAGCGTGTTTTTTTCAAGCTGTCGACCTGTGCTCTTGCCTTTACATTACACCGGTGACATCCGTGTTTCGTTGTCATGACAACCGATACGAACAAGCCAACCCAATTGTTCGTTAGCGCGAACTGAAGCGTATCGACGTCAGTCTCAGCTCCTCTGGCGTCAATTGGCCGATCAGCTCCTAAGAGGCAGACAGAGGGCTGTTGGATCCGCGTGTTGTCCTGGTAACGGAGACTCACGGCCGGGTCTTTATATGAGAGAGGCGCGTCTTGGGACCGCGCACACGGACGGTGCGGATCGGTGTGAGAGGAACGGCGGGAGCGTGTAGATAGTGCTATGGACTGCAGCTAAACACCGGTGAGTAGGTATATGAATTTTAAGCCGGTGGGTAACACGTTCCGCTGGGGCTCCCGGATTTCCACACCCTGGGAGGGGGAGGAGGGTTGAACACTCCCACTCCCGTCTAACTTGGTTCCTGGGCCACATAGCGACGCGCGGTAAGCGGCTTCGAAATAGCGTTAAAATAATGGAGAAATTATCTAACCCATTTATAGGGCGGGTCAAGTCAGGTCACCAGAGGTCGTCGGTCAAGTGGCGTTTATTTGGACGTTTTTTGACAAATCGGCGCATAACTCGGAAACGAACAGAAATGGGTACACAGCGCCTTAAAAGGGCTCATTCGATTGCTCTCGTGGAATGTATTCCGCCAGTGTGTCCTCGGTACCAGTTTAGCCTCCAAAGGGCAGAAACTGTTGTCGTTTTTGTTGACAATGTTTTCCTGAAATAATGTCATTTTCTCACATTGCCTCATCCCTCCGACACCACGGTCACCTGACCGACAGCTCAGCCCGCCCCGCTGCCGTCACCAGCCGGTCTGCCCGGGCCGCTGCAAGCACCTGCCTCTAAGCCCGTCACCGCTCCGATCACCGGCTGCTCCTTCCACTGCACTGCGGTCACCGGTCAGCCCGCGCCGCCGCCATGCTGCTCTGGCTGCGAGTGGCCGTCGGTGCCACGCTCACCGTCAGCTTTGCCGTCCCGCTGGGCATCATCGCCCGCGACGGTAGTCTGCGCGAGGAGCCGATGACGCTGTTCGTCATCAACATGACCCTGGTTGACCTGGTGTTCGGCGCGCTGTTCATGGCCACCGGTCTGGCGGACGTGGTGTTCACCGGCGGCGTGCCGGCGCCCCTCTGCGCCACCCTCCAGTACCTGCTGTTCGGCTGCGGCGTGGCCTGGAAGGCCGCCACACTCTGTCTGGCGCTGGATCAGTTTATCGCCGTGGCACACTCTCTGCGCTACAACGCCATCATGTCTGCGTGGACGCCGCGGCTGGTGGCACTCACCTGGTGCTGCGTGCCGCTGATGGGCGCGTTCGGCTTCACCTGCTACCGGCTGGGCCTGGAGTCGAGCGTGGCGTTCGACCGGCGCGTGCTGGGTGTGGAGCGGCACATCTCGCAGTGCCGCTGGGAGCTGAACGCCCACCTGTTCATGGTGGTCTCCGAGGTGGCGGTACTGCTGCTCTCGCTCTGCTCCGGCGTCCTGTTCGTCTACACGGCCGTCCAGGGCGCGCGCCACGAGTGGCGCCTGCACCCCAACAACCGGCTCCTGGTGCGCTTCAAGTCGTTCCAGCGGATCGTCAAGGTGCTGCTGGTGGTTGTCACCATCGACGTGGTGGCGGCCGGCGTGCGCGTGGGCTCGCGCTGGTCGGCGCAGCTGTACGCCACCACACTGGTGCAGCTGCTGCGCGTGCTCTGCCTGCTGGTGGAGGGCTGGACGTACGGCCTGACCCAGCCGGCCGTGCGCTCGGCACTCTCAACCTTCTTCGGCTGGCGTCGGAGCCGCGTGGGTGACGTGACGCCCTCCGAGCTGCGCCGCCCGACCAACCCCTCCTCCGAGTGGGCCGAGAGAGCGGCCACCGAGTCGCCGCGCTTCTAGACAGAGGAGCACGCCCGTATTCCCAGTCATGGAAGATTTATTAGACCTGTGGTTGTGATGTGTGATATGTGTATTGTGTGTAATGTGTGTTTATAACGTAGGTAGCTTTAGGACAGGATAGGTTAACTCCTCATACCTACATTACATGACGACATTTTCAGTTACCTACCGCAGATACCTGCATAAACTAAATGCATATAAGAAACGGTCTATAATGCGAAGCTCAATGTGTAGTGCAGCTAGTGTTTGTGATACGCATTTGACTGTTGCTCCTCGTGAATCTACGGTAGGAAAGTGTCCCGCACAAGCTACATGAAGCAGCGGTGATGCCCTGGGGTAAATGTGTTCACGTGTCGCATCTGTCTGCATAATTTAATTCGTTTAATTACTAATGAGTAATGGCAAAGATGATTCGAAACGGCGCAATGCGCATGTTAGTTATAAATGCCATTATTTATGTTTATATGTATTTATGTGCTAGCGCGTCTAATGTTGGTGCCGGTTCTCATAGATCTATATGATCTCTGTGTATACCGGTTCTCACGTAAAGACATGTTAGTTTCGCAGCGCATTTGATGTTCTTACTTCTTTTATGAACATTTATGTTAAAATTGCACGCTGATTGCTCGGACAGTTGGCAGGAAGGATTTTTTTCGTGATTTTCGTTGTGCGGCTCTTTTAAAGGGACCCTCCCACCTTCAAAAAAGTTGATGAATTGGCACGAAAGTGATGTCGCTCGGTTCGGAAAGAGCGAAAACGAATATCTACCAAATTTCATCGAAAAATATTCACCGGTTTTCAAGATATTAGACTTTTACTTTTGTTTACTTTTTGGGATCTCCGCTGTTCCTAGCGACTTTATTTGAAAGTGCGGCATTTGTTGCGCGCAAAGCAGCATATACCACCGCGTGCTACCAAACGTTTTAGTAAAAGATTTAAAAATCGTTAGATCTCCGCTGACGTCACAAATTCTAAGGGGGCATACCAATGCACTAGCCCCTTAGAATCCGAAAACTGCAAGTTTGAAATTCCATATCTCCGAATTAAAGCATTTGTCGATGTTGTGAGTGCCCAAACCGGTATTTGCAGGCCATGGCCACCAATTTGGCTATCTCAACTCAAAACTAATGTTAAGGTGGGAGTGTCCCTTTAATACTACCGTAGGACAAATGAGTCTGTGACGGCGCCTCTATGACGATGTTCTCAACACATCAAGTTGTCAGCTTTGTGTGCGTCGTGTGATTCATCAACTGATGTAACTTTCTGCCGATAATTGCTTCTCTCACTGTTGACTAACGCTGACTGGACTTCCGAGTGATGTGCTGCTGTTATATGTTATTACTTTTCTGTCTATAGAGTTGTCATAATCGAGCAAGCAATGACCGTGCTTTCTGTTATTCGTAAGTCCTGTCAGCGCCAATCATCCACGAATCAAGTCATGGGGTGGAAAAAGGAAAAGAACAGTCGAATGGCCGGTCAGACACGAATCTTTGGTTCACCGGAATCCGATTCCAATTACGCCTCCTGAGAATGGCGTTCTCTTTGTTCGGCTTTTATTCACGCCACCGACAATCAGTCCGGTATGGCGGTTATCACATGTCAGGTCACACAGCGAGCTTGGGGGAGCCGGCGGCTGGACCGCGGGGCCACGGGAGCACCCGCGGCCGGTCGGAGAGGAAGGGACCGGTGCGGGTCTCCCGCGCCCTCTTTGGCACGTGTACGATCACCAGGGTCCCCAGTCCCTTCGGTCGGTGGCCCGGCGCGCTGGGTCCTCCAATGCCGCACATTTGGTAGTCTGAAGATGGGTCGCAGTCGGCCTGACTTCAGAAGATGAGTCAGGCCTACTGCGAGCCAGCAACAGGCTCAAGCGACAGCAACACATCAACACATGTAATCTACAA